GCTATCTCATCTGACAGGCATGCTCTATGATGAGTAAACATCTCGAAGAAATGCTTCCCCAAAGGCTGTGCGGTTTGTCTCCCCCAGTTCATTCACTAACAGCAGGAGCTTGGGTCTGCCCGCTCAGTTTGGAAATAAAACCCAGTCCGGACGTATGGCCTCTAATCCAGTGACCTATTAAGAAACAGACCTGCAGACTACAACTTGCGGAGCAGCTGTGGTTCGGACTCTCTCTCCGAAAGCAGTGTGTGCAGATGAACATAAAACGTGCTGAATTGCATCTGCCTGTCCTCAGGCTTGAGTGCCTGCAGCCAGAGAGAGCAGGGCTCTAAGTGGGGTAACATTTTCCCAGCAAAGTCTCAAACCACATGTTCAGATTATACCCTGGTGCCATGAGATGCTCAGTTGTGGCTCACATGACACATCCAGGTCTTTAGGGCTTACTCCACCTTGGTTCATGCCAATGCACAGGAGGGGCAACTGTGCTGAAACCAGCAGCAGTACGGTTGTACAACAGGGTGAACAATGAGGATCAGGATTTGGGATTTTGTGTCAGCCCCAAAGTCAGGGTGTCTGCTGGCGTGGTGAGAGCTTTGCATCCACTTCCCTGGGCACTGCTGCTGGTGCCAGGGCTAAGCAATGCCTGTGGCAGGTGCCTGTGGCCCTAGATACTCTGAATAGCCCTCCCAGCTCTGGGCAGAGTGTCCCCATCTCCCTCCCTGTCGGCAGTCCGACTGGAAGCCAGATGTACTCTTATGTCTCCCAGCAAGAATTTACTGCTCATTAAAAAATAATCTGTGATACAATTTCCCTGAAGCAACAAAAGAGCATCATCACCCTCTTGCACCGTACTAAATGTAGATGCCTGAGCAGTGGCCAGCTGGCAGAGCACTGCTCGCAAATGCTGATGCCGGAAATATGCCTTTGAAGAGGCTGGAGACATAGATGAAATGGTCTCGCAGGAGTTCAGTAGTTACTTTTTTTTTTTGTGTGTGTGTGTCTCACAAGGCAGTGTCCAAATTGCCGAGCTGTAGAGGAGTCACAGCAAGGAAAATGGGGGAGAACCTGATTTTATGGTTTTTTTTAATCTGTTGGTTTATGAACAATGTTTTGCTGTTAGCCAGTCTGGGAGTGCTGGCTGGGCAGGGAGGGCATGGGCAGCTTCCTGGCAGCCTGCTGACCTTTCATGCGATAGGGCAGCAGGATCTCTACGTGTGCTCGCAGGAGGCAGGTCATGCAGGAAGCCGCAGAGCCATTGCCCTGCCCTTGCCCTCGCCCTCGGCTGCCGGCAGTGCCATGGCTGTGTTGTTGGCCTGCTGACTGCGCACAATGTCCACAGGGCAGACCCTGATGGCTGAACGCTGCTCTTAGGTGTTTGGGTGCAAATGGGCTTTTGTAGGGTCTGATCTGTCACTGGTTGCTGACCTCTAGGGGATGAGATCATACATTCCCCTTTTCCTTAACCAGTACTTCTCCCCCCCTCCCAAAATACACATAAATGTATGTGAATAGGTGTGATAAACATTACAGCTTCTATTGTTTTTCTTAAAAGATGGGGTGTTTTTAACCAAAAACAAAGAATGAGTGTGTATGTTATTTATAACCCATGTTTCTGGCTGCTTTGATGGTGGTGAAGGTCAGGCAGACAAAAGAGGTTGTTGGTGGGAAGCCTTGGATGCAGGAGTCCCTGTGCCCTGCAGCTCCAGCAGTTGCTCTCCCCTCTTCTGCAGCTTGCCAGTGCTCCCGGGAGGGCTCTCTGCACAGCACCTGCGACCAGGAAACGGGGCAGTGCAGCTGCCGGCCCAAAGTGACGGGACTGCGCTGCGATAGCTGCGTGCCGGGCGCCTAAGGATTTCCGCACTGCGAAGGTAGCCCCCTTCTCCTCTCTGATGGGGGGGGGACTCCGGTGTCTTGGGACATAGCAGTGCGGTGCTGGTAAATCATAGAATTATAGAACAGTTTGGGTTGGAATAGGCTTATCATCCCCCAGGAGCTTTGCAAGGGAAGAAATAACCCCCTTTAGGAACAGCTGGGGTGTGAGCTATCTCTTTATAAATCCCTCCTTGTGCCTCTCTTTTCTAGTGGGCTCCTGTAACCCAGCAGGGTTGGTGACTGCAGATCCCTCGCTGGCCCCGGTGAGTGTCAAATGAACCCACCAACCCCTGCAGGTCATTTTTGTGTGATCCCCTTTTACTCACTTTGGGACAAGTCCTTCCTTAAGCACAGCCTGAAAGCAGCCATTACTCATGCCAGAGTAGCAGACACCACATTCAGCCACCGTGCTGCAAATTCTCACCTGCTCTCTTCTCCCTCTGCCTTTCCCCAGGGCTCCTGCGCGTGTCGGGCATACGTTGAAGGCCCAGCTTGCGACAGATGCAAGCCCTTATACTGGAACCTGACTCCAGAGAACCCCTACGCTCTCTGCACAGCACCTGCGCCCAGGAAACGGGGCAGTGCAGCTGCCGGCCCAAAGTGACGGGACTGCGCTGCGATAGCTGCGTGCCGGGCGCCTATGGATTTCCGCACTGCGAAGGTAGCCCCCTTCTCCTCTCTGATGGGGGGGGGACTCCGGTGTCTTGGGACATAGCAGTGCGGTGCTGGTAAATCATAGAATTATAGAACAGTTTGGGTTGGAATAGGCTTATCATCCCCCAGGAGCTTTGCAAGGGAAGAAATAACCCCCTTTAGGAACAGCTGGGGTGTGAGCTATCTCTTTATAAATCCCTCCTTGTGCCTCTCTTTTCTAGTGGGCTCCTGTAACCCAGCAGGGTTGGTGACTGCAGATCCCTCGCTGGCCCCGGTGAGTGTCAAATGAACCCACCAACCCCTGCAGGTCATTTTTGTGTGATCCCCTTTTACTCACTTTGGGACAAGTCCTTCCTTAAGCACAGCTTGAAAGCAGCCATTACTCATGCCAGAGTAGCAGACACCACATTCAGCCACCGTGCTGCAAATTCTCACCTGCTCTCTTCTCCCTCTGCCTTTCCCCAGGGCTCCTGCGCGTGTCGGGCATACGTTGAAGGCCCAGCTTGCGACAGATGCAAGCCCTTATACTGGAACCTGACTCCAGAGAACCCCTACGGCTGCATGAGTAAGGAAATGGCATTTGCACGGCCCCAAAAAGTCCCCTCCCTGCTGTAATGGTGCAAGACCCAAACCCAAGCCAGTGGGGACCATCACTGCTGAATGGAAGGGATACCCTTCCTTCCTTCTTCACCCTCAAGTGACATGTCAAAGCTGGAGTGGTCTGGGTAACCCCCACTTGAAGAGGGGAAAGACTGGAGCCTGGAGCTTTTTGCTTGGGATGAAACACAGGGCTCGTGCAATGAGTTGTGTCGTTCTCAGCCCTCCCTGCAGACTTTGCACACTTAGGTTTTCATGGTCAAATGTGCAGAAAAGGCAAATGTCTTTGGCAGTTGTCCTCAACAGTAACTGTCCAAAATGAAGTGTGAGCTTGTGCATAGTGCTTGTGCAGCACTACCCTCTACTTGACCAGTTTCCAGCTCCTCTTATCCCAGCCTGTGTCCTCTGGTGTGGTGTGGGTACTGTCCCCCATCAGGCTTCTTCTCAGGGGCTGACTGATCTTCTGGCTTTCTTGTTCATCTCCCTCTCTCCAGGCTGCAAGTGTAATACCAAGGGCACCATCAGTGGAATCGCAGAGTGCCACCAGGTGGGTTTGCTCCTCTCTGCCTCCAGGCACCTCCGAGCATATGCTGTGTTGGGACTGTTTCAGCTCTGTCTCTCCCAGCAGCTGTTGGAGAGACCTGTCCTGACGCTGAGCTCTCAAAGGCTGCACCACAGTCTGGGCTTGCATGAGAACATAGGATTAAGACCTGTCATAAATTAGGCACCTAAATATTTCTGGGTCTGGCCCAGGATGCCTGGATTTTTGTTTGCCTGCATTGTTGGGTAATTTAACTTATTTGGGCCCTTATCTGGCCCACCCACGCGCAGGAAGCAGTGTAGAGCATGAAACTCAAAATGCTTCTCCAGTGTCTCAGACTAGGACCCAAATAACTGAGAAATGGCTTGGCCATGACGAGCAACGGGAGGGAATGAGCTTCCACGCCTGCTTCTCTCCTAGGGCGACGGGCAGTGTTTCTGCAAACCAAACATCTGCGGCCAGTTCTGCTCGGCGTGCAAAGACGGCTACTTCAATATGGAGAACGCAAATTACTTTGGCTGCCAAGGTGAGCCTCCTTTGTGATATGCTGGGTGAAGGAGGGGGGTCACAAGCAGCTCTGCATATACCAACTGACTGTTGGCCTTGGAGAGAAGGGGCAGGAGATGTCCCACCTCTTGCTTTTGATTATACCATGGCCCAGAGCAGGGGCTGGGTCTTGCTGTGGATCTGGAGACCTGAGTTCACACTTTTGTCACCGTTGGACACAGGTCTGTCAGGCTGGGGAATGAAAGGCCAGGAAGGGTGCCCCTTTGGGTGCCAGAAACTGGTGTGTTTTAACCACTGGCCATGTCCTTGCAGCTCTACCCCTTCCTCCTGTTGGGAGCAGGTGGGCATGGACATGTCAGGATCGCTGCTCTCCATCATGCCCATGGGAAGCAGGGAAGGAGGAGAACTGGCCGCTCTCAGCCGGCCCACGCGGTCCTGGCAGGGCTGGGAAGAGGGAGCAAGGCTGCTGCTGGCGGCAGGGCTGCGGCGCCCAGCCATGAGGGTTTGCAGACCTTGTTCCTCATGCAGCCGTCAGCCGTCTGGAAATAGCTTGGCGCTGAGGTGGAGAGGAGCTGATCCAACTGGGGCTGGGGCCAATATGAAAACAGATACAACAGAATAAAAATAGCAACCCCAGCCTCCCCGCCCACTGGGGCACGCCTTTGATTAGTGACCAGGAGCTCGTTAGTGCCGCGGGAATGTAAACAGGCGCTTCCTGCCCGCAGGCTGCCGGTGTGACGTTGGCGGGTCCCTGGGGCCATCCTGCGAGGAGCGGAGCGGAGCCTGTCGCTGCCGGCAGAGCACACGTGGGCCCACCTGCACCCAGTAAGCTGCTAGCGGGAGATGCACCTTAGGGTGCTGTGCCTCCTGTTCGCTCCCTCGGGAATGGTGTCCTTGGCCACCACAAGGATGGGGACCTCATCGTCTGGGCTGCTGCCACTTCAGCCGTGTGCCTGGCAGAGGTGTCCTCTTACCTCTCCCTCCAGATAGCCCAGCAGGTAACAGTGCTCCCTCTCTTCCCCAGACCTGCGCGGGCTCATTATTTCCCTGACCTTCACCACTTGAAATTCGAACTGGAGGAAGGCACCACGCCGGCCGGCCGGGCTGTGCGCTTTGGCTACAACCCCCTGGAGTTTGAGGGCTTCAGCTGGCGGGGATACGCACAGATGTCCTCCATCCAGGTACGCCTGGTGTCTCCATCCCAGCCCAGCTCCCCCTGGGGAGGATGCGGCTGGTGGAGGACTGACATGCTTTTGGCACACATCTTTCACCCCAAGTGCTTCTCAAACCCCCAAAGTCACATGATGGCCAACATAAACAGCACAGTGTATATATAGCCTGTTTGCGCAGATATTTCCTGTAGTGCTGGGGACGGCATAGACTGATGAGGGGAAAGATCCTAAATTGGGAATCCCCGACATCCTAATCCGGTTAGACAAAGGTGGTAGCTTGGTGATTACTTACAGGGATGTCTAAACACTGTCTCTGGGTTTCCTTGTGGCTCTTTCATCTGACTCTGCTCTTTCCTGCAACTCCCTGCATAACCTTCCCTCCCTTTTCCAAAAATAAATTAGCTCCTCCTTAGCTGCCATGTTCAGCTTGGACCTCTTGTTACCGTTCTGCCTCTGCTCTTGCTGTTAGCTGGTTTGCTGTAATGATGGTTTACACTAACCTGGAGTTGTCTAAGCCCTAGAAGTGAAGCTATTTCATCTGTTGACCCTTTTTTCTCCTCGGTGGATTCTTCTGCGTGGCCCCTGCAGAAGTGTTGCCTGTGTGTGTGTTTGGGGATGGGGTGCAGGGCAGTGATTCTCTGACAGTCTTGTCCCATATGAGATGTGTCTTATTCTGGTGCGTGTACTTTCAGTTTTCTTCTCTTTTTCATGCTTAGGTAAAATAGCAGAGGGGCCAAATGTGTAGCCATTTTCCATTGAATTCATAGGTAGGAGCTAGGCATTGAACTCCTGTAGGCTCCCTTGACAAAACCCCAGCCTTAAAGCTTAAGGATGGAGCTCGTGATCAAGCTCATGGCTTTTGTTTTGTATCCAGTGTTGGCATTTGAGATAGAAATAGGCCTTGATGGAAGGGCCAGCACGTGGCTTTCTGCTGGCAGGTCTCACCTGTAGTTTGCTATCTGCAAGATCCTTCCAGTTTGCTGTCCAGTGGGAAGATGGTGTGTAACTGGAGCTTTGAAGAACACAGAGCCCTCATTAGGAGTCTTCCTGGGCAAACCCCAGCTTTGCCCTGTAGGAGGGTATTTAAGCAGATGCTTAGATCCTTTGAAATGGTTCGGACTTAAGCATCTCTTTAACTGGGGTCTTGCCAAACAGCGTCCAGGCAGGCGGACGGCTGACGCACCCATCAGTGACACACTCCCTTAGCACCACTAGTCCTTAGCATTGCAGGTTCCCGAGGATGAGGCGCCAGCTCAATTTGCAGCCTCCTCTGTAGGCATCTGGGCAGAGCCCCATAAGAACAAGGGCAGGTGCTTCAGCGTTGGGTACCTGCTGGCTGGTTACGGCACGCTAAGCCCAAAAGCAACATGCCGATAACAAAAGCTAGAACTTCTTAAAACCTTTCCGCTGGCGTGGCATGTGCCCCAGGATAGCTGAACCACCCTGCTGTGCCACAGCATCTTCCAGATGTGGGCAGAGCCCTTCCACCCCCTTCCCACAGGCAGGTTGCTCCCTCGGTGGCTGGTCCCAAAAGGGACGGCATCATGAGGCGCCCGTGCCGTGACTGTGCAGCAGGGCCAGTGTGCTTGTCTCCTCCTTGCGCTGTGGCATGTTGCTTTGGGAGCAGTGAGCCGAGCGGCTGCGCTTGGGCTGGTAGCTGTCAGCGGTGGAGGTAATTGAAGGTGTGCTCTGCTTCTCTCCCCTTTCTCTCTCCCACCAGCCCAAGGTAGTGGTGACTCTCAATGTGACCTCCCCCGACCTCTTCCGCCTCGTCTTCCGCTACGTCAGCCGGGGGCCCGCCAGTGTGGAAGGGAGGGTCTCGGTCGTTGAGGAAGGAAAGTTTAATGTTTGTGGCAACTGTAAGTGCATTTTTCACTTCTAGACTAACTCAGAGCATCCCACGCTGTGACACTGCTCCTCTGCCCCTTCTCCTGCCCCAGGTGTGCCCGTCCCAGGTGTGCCCATCCCAAGTGTGCCCATCTCAGGTGGCCGGCCAGAGCCGTGCCATGGGATGGCGAGGGAGGGGGAAGAGAGGCAGGCAGGCAGGCAGGTAGGCAGGCGGGTAAGGCTCTCCCGCAGAGCGGGTGGGCGGTCAGTATCTGGCCCCCCAGTGACGTGTGCCCCGTGTGCTTTTTTGCTTTTTGCAGAATAAAATCAGAGTCACTGTAGACGTGAAGGAGGCAGAGCTCTATCTGTTCCATGTCATCCTGAGGTATATTAATTCAGGAGGGGCCACTGTGTATGGCAAAATTACAGCTTATCAGCCACGAAGGAGAGGTAAGGATCCCAGACCGCTCCGCTCCCCTGCACCATCGCCACCTCCTCCCCATCCCAGGCAACCTTCTGCATCATCCTTTCCAGAAGACACTTCCATGTGGCTTTACCCATTAGGCCTGCCCTTCCAATTGAAAGGCTGATTTGAGTTTGCAGCCCCCTTTATTTAACAAAGCAGCAGCAAGCTGGCCCCCAGTCCTGGGGCTGTGCACTGAGGACTGTTATCAGCCAGGCTGGTGTGAGATAAGGCTATTGTATGATTCAATACAACCTTTCCAGCATGGGACAAGATCACTCCCAGTGCCCCAGGCAGAACTGAGCTAAGTTTCTACAAAACCAGAATGGGCCAAGTGCTGGGACCTGGATCCAAACTTTGGCAGCTGGACATGGTTTTATTTCGCAGGTGCCCTCATGTGGCAGTCCTGCCCTTGCCTTGCGCTTTTCCCAAACCAGGCTGCTGGTTTCACACATGGTGTGGGATTTGGAAGTGGTGTGGAATTGCATGTGTTATACAGACATTGCACTCTGGTGCAGTGTCTTCTCATCAAGCCATGAGCTGCTGGAGAAGAGCCACCAAAAGATGGCTGAACAAGCCTAGAGACCCGGACAACAAATATTCTGAGAATCAATATGAGCAAGACTGCATGGGGACAGACCTGAGGCCATGCAGGTGCCCTAGTGGGTGGTTGGCTGATTGATTTTACCCCTTCTGATGTT